AACCCTTTGATTGATCATCTCGACATCGATGTCAAGATGTATGACCATGAAAATAAAAAGATTTTAAGTATCAGAAATAGTGCATTTTACAACATATTATTTGCACCGTCCATTTTCAAGATTTTTATATGTTTATAGATCTACTTGATTTTAACCATTTTTTAAATTTAAAATTTTATAATTAGATATAAAAATAGATTTTGAGATAATCCTAAAAACATTTTACCTCAAAATTATATACCATGATAAACTTTGAAGATGCACTTTACCTCTACAGCTAAGGATGCATCCGTATGCCAACTGCACGTTTTAGTAATTGCTATATAATATCACATTGAAGGAAAACGTTTATATAAGGATGCTACCTTGTAATGTAGAACTACACATGCCCCTCAAAAATCCATTGAAAAAGGTAGTTTTAATGTTGAACCACCCTTTTGATTGATCGTCTCGACATCGAGATGTATGACTATGAAAAATAAAAAGATTTTAGGTCTAAAAAATAACACATTTTACAACATATTATCTACACCGTCCATTTTCAAGATTTTTATATGTTTATAGATTTACTAGATTTTAACCATTTTTAAAATTGAAATTTCCATGATTACATATAAAAATAGATTTTGATATAATCCTAAAAATATTTTACATTAAAATTATATATCATGATAAGATTTGAAAGTGCACCATATCTCTACACCTATTGATGCATCCGCATGCAAACTGCACCCAGATTGAATGCGACAAGGAACAACAAAAAAAGCTTGGGAAAAGTACTAAATAGAAAACGACAAAGGCCACGTTGAATAGTACATAAATTTATTATCTATTCAACAATCTTCAAATGAGTAACACGATGGGATTTGGTACCATTGATTGCATACAGCAGCACACACAAAAGCCCCTAGGATCCTCGTCTCTTTCAAATACCCGTGAGCGGCCGTGCATCAATTATTGTGATGTTGGAAAGCCTTTTAATTTTGGAAAAAGTGTATATAAGGTTGCAACCGTAAAATATAAAATTAAAGATGCCCTTAAAAACTCATCGTATTTTAAATCGTCAAAAGTAGACTTCTATGCACTTTACGCACCTTAATTTGTTTTAGCATATTTTTTCTCAAAAATAAAATTTTATATCAAATATCTCCTTACAAAAAAAGTACTTTTTTTTTTTTTACAAAAATTCCTTTCCTATACATAACAAATCATTTTCATATCCTAATAAATGGAAAAGCTCCCAACCGCAGTAATATTATGTTAGACTCATGCATTCTGGCGGATCAGAACTGTATACTACCGGGCCGCCTATGCTAGTCACAATTTTGCTGGACCATAGCTCACAAATGCCGAACCGCTCATAAATCTAGAAACAAATGCCGGACTACACTTGTAAAATGCCGAAACGACCTCTTCCAAACGCTAGACCGCCATGGTGAAGTGCCGAACTGTTCCAAATCAGTGACTTAGTGCCGGAACGCCTTTTCCAAATGCCGGCGACTATATTTTGGCCTCCTTTTTTTTTCCAAATGAGGGGTATTTTAGCCTCATTTTTTTTTTTTTTTTTTGAGTTGAGGAGTATTTGCTAGAAAACATGGTTTTGAGGAAAAAGTTGTTAGAAAAAGTTAAGTTGGAGGTTGATTGCTTAAAAACTCTATTTTTGAGAGTTTTATGCAATTTTTCCAAAATTTTATTCCATAATATTAAGATAGGTCATTATATCTATTATACTTTTGTAATTAAGAGTTTTACTTAAAAGCCAAAATAAATTAAAATTTATAATTTGGTAGTAAAAATTATGCTCTACTTTGATAAAATTGTCAAATTTTTAGAATAAAATAACATATTTGATTTAAAAAATAATTATACACGTATGTTATAAATTTTGCATTCATGTTGTTTCCCACTATTTCTTAAAGCTACAGAGTTTACATAAAAAGTTATTATTTCATTATTTTAATGTTATTTTCAAATATTTATTTAATACTTTAAATTTTTATATATTTCATCAATTAAAGTTTAATAAATGAGTTTAAAATTATCAAGTCCGACGGTTTTGTTCCAAGGCGCTTAATTTTTAAACCTTGAGGGAGAAACACGGACAAAATCAGAAAGCAAAAACTTGGACCAATTTTCTTGGATCTCACAGTAACCAGCACCAATGTAATTCCAAGGGTAATCCATGACAGTCACATTATTTGTCTTTATGAGTGAGATCAGGTGGGTTAGGTGGTCCATAACTTGGTCATTCATTCTCTCTCCTGCGCCTCCACCAAACCAGCAAAACACGCACAGAGAATGGAGGAAGAGACCCCAAGAGTGTTCATGTTCTACTTCTTCCCTATCCAGTACAAGGCCACATAATCCCATTGCTCCAATTTGCCTATCGCCTTGCTAGCAATGGCATCTGGGCCACCATCGTGACCACGATTAGAACTCTAAACGATTTTAACAAGGCAGACCGCTCCCCTCTTGCCTCCACCCACATGTTGATTCAAATTTTGAAATATAAACTCTTTTCATTCTTCTAATGAACAATCGTAAAAAAGATAAAAAAATGAAAACACAATTTAAAAAGTATTTTTTTAGCCCAATTAACATAGGCCGTTCATTTTGGTAAGATGCTTAGATCTAGGCTTTAGAAGGATTTTTTCATTTTCAATTTTTTTGGATGGCTATATTATTATTAGATGAACAATGTTAAAAAATAAAAAAATGATTTTGAGTTTATAAAGGCTAAGATTTTAAAATTCACAAAATGAATAGTCTAGATTCGTTTGTGGAGGGGACTCATTTTGAACATATCTAGGGTTCAAATTGAACTTTTGTGTTTTTGGGGATTGATTATTGAGATGAAGAGAGTGTGTATGTAAAATTTGGGGTCATATAAATACCACAAACATGGTTTTCTAGAAGTGTCATTGCATTATACTATAGTATAACCGTTGCATTTGATCATTGCTCATTAAAATCTTACCATTAATTTTTTTTTCTTCAAATGACCTAAATTTTAAATAGCCCATCAAATGACACGTCAAAATGGTTTTTAAAATTATGGAAATGCGCCTACTACGGTAAAATGTTAAATAGTTCAAACATGAGGAGTATTTTTGTGATAAATTTTCTGTAGTGAAAAGAAGAGAGAGGGAGTAAGTGTACAGTTTTGCTCCTACCAGAGATTTGTGGGGGAAAAAGTAATCAACAGCCTCCTCATTACCTTGGACCATTGACTTGTAAATAATTTACAAGAAGCAGGTCACGTATTCCACACACAATTTGTCTCCAAGTTATGGGTGATATGCACTAAGCTTTTAAAAAACGTCCATAAAAAAAAAAACAAAGGAAACAATGGACACAAATGAGAAAGTAACGGAGAGATATTTTAAATATATAACATTTTGTTAATGTAACACAAGGACGGTTATTCCAAGTTAGGGAGTCATTTTTATTTTGAGTGCGGTTTGTATTTAGCCTAGGCTCTAAACAATCAAATTAGAGCCTACCTTCAAATAGTATCGAGAAATATGGTTTCAATACTGGAAATCTTTGTGATAGCTTTAAAATAGATTTTCATATTTATTTATAAAGCTTAAAGATTGAAAAAAAAGTGTGGATCGACAGTTCTAAGAATACTTGAATATTGATGGTCCAAAAATACGTTACGAAATACATTATTTCCAAAATTTAAAATCCATTTTTTTCTCATGTCTATGCATTTTGATGTCAAGATGATCAATTTGAAGATATTTGATCATCAAAACAACATCTTCTAGTGAAAGTTTTGATGCAGGCTCAAATTTGATTGTTTAGGGTATCGGCTCTATATAAAATTTTTCCTCTTATTTTTGGGCCTAAAACAACTCTCTTTCCATATGAAAAGCCAGCAAGAGAAACAACTGAAAAGGTGAAGACCCATCAAACAATTTCAACCGTTTTTATTAATTTGATAGGGACACGGTTTTGGTTTTGGTGAGTCCGCCAACTCACGAAAACAGGTGAGTCTCCGCATGCATCAGACATCCATATTAGATATGAACGTCAAAAAAAGGTTCTTTACTATGCGTCAAAAAAGATGATGGAAAATAAAAATGTGAAAAGTACAATCTTGAACTTTGTAGTTCAGATTAACCAATCTTGAACTTTTTGATCCAAAATCTATCTTTAAAATAGATTTTGAAAGGGGGACAAACTTCAATAGGTGAGTTGGCCGACTCACCGAGCAATTTGCAATTTGAAAATCATTGTTTTTTTTTTTTTTGGGAAATTATCACAAATATACTTTAATTTTTGCTTAATTAGAAAAAACTCTCAACTTTTATAAACCTCGTCCACACCTTTTTTTACTCATTTTCGAGATTTTTTTACCAAAATAATCTTCATGATAGTCGTATCACCGTGAAGCACCATTATGGTACTTTAAATACCGTAATGTTTAGCGCATTTTATATGACACTTCGAATACCGTAAGGTTTCGAACGTTTGTTATGGTACTCGAATTACCGTAATACTTTCACACATATATTATGGTAGTAAAATGTACCGTAAAAATAACCATAATTATTTATGAACTTCTCCTGCCTTTTTCACGTTTTTTTATCATAAAACCCTATATC